AATAAGATTATTTTAATTTTTCCGAGCTTTCTTTATTTATAGAATTGAATTATAGGAGGAATGTGTATTAAATTATTTAATTTTTTAAGCTATTATACCGATTATGAATATGTTCGCGAAAGATTGGATAAAACCGAAGAGAGTTCAAGAAAGAATTTTTATGATCCAAAGGGCTCAAAGTGCACGCATACTTCTTATATGCTCCTATAGCATAATGGGGATAACGTGCTTCTACATTACTATATTGCCTGTTTTTGGAATAACAATGAGATTGACTCCCAATATAACTGATCCGGGAAGACCAATGCCTTTACAAACTCATTATATTTACGATATAACGAAAAGTCCACAATACGAACTTACATTTATTAGTCAAGCCATCTATATACCTGTCGCCATGATGGCCTATGTTGGAATTGACAATTTTCTCAGTCTTTTGATATTTCATATATGTGGTCAATTAGATATTCTCCATTATCGTTTAACACATTTGGATAAATACGAAAATTATCACGACGAATTAAAAGACTCCTTAATAAAACATATTCGTTTACTTAGGTTTGTTATATACTTATGATATATACTAAATATATACAGATATAATCCAAAAAGATGTGATCTATATCGAGTATGTTAAGCGTACATAATATCTTTTCTAGAGCTATAGATGTTATAGAAGATACATATAATATAATACTTCTTTTTTTATTTATATATTTTGCGATTTCTTTTGCCTTCTATGGATTTCGACTGATTAGTGTAAGTATTTAAAAATTTGCAAGAATTCAGAATATAATTTTATAAAATTAATATTGTAAAATTAATATTGTAATAAATATCGTTGTTACAAAAATACTACAGTCAAAGTATTATTATATTTATGTAATTCATTATGACAAAATTGTGAGTTTATCTTAAGATTAAATACTTCTTTATTTCAAATTAATTAGCTGTTCAGCGAAGGAAATGATATGTCATTTTCTCACTTAGTATTCTTCCTGTCCACTGTTTTTAATATATTTATACACATGTGCTTATATTGCGTTCTTGGAGAAATTTTGATGGATCAGGTTAGTTATACATATATTTAAGTTTTTATTATTATATACATACGAATTAATATGATTTATTAAAATAATTGTTTTGATTAATTACACATTAATTGCCAAATTTATCATTAATGTTTATATACATATGTTTATACATATGTTTATACACATATAAACGTCAAATTGTGATAATTTAATTTTAAATTGTTATAATTGTTTTAAGTGTAATGCAATATATTATGCGGCATATAGTACTAAGTGGTACACCATGGACTCAGAAGTTATACGAGATTTGTTGCTTTTAATGACTAGAGGTTCTAAACCAATATACCTCACTGCTGGAAAAATGTCTCCTATTACAATGGCTACATTTTGTGGTGTAAGATATTTTGAATATTTATCATTAAAATATTAAATATTATTAAAACTTTGTTAATATTTCTTTCACAATTTTGAATTAAGATTTAACACGTAAGATTTAATATGTAAAATATTTTTTTACTACATATACATTTTTATACGTTGCAATTACATTTTCATTCAGTGTTACTTAACTGTATTACGAATAAAGTATATATATTTTTCAGTTAGTGAAAACATCAGTTGGTTATATGTCTGTATTACATACAATGAGAAGTTAATTACAAATGAAAAATCTACTTTTTTTCATGTAATGTAATTTTTTATATTAGACTTTGATAATATTAAAATCGTATTAATATCCTATTTGTAAATAAATTAATCTGGTTGCATATCTAAATGGAATATGTTGAAGAATTTCATAAAGTAATGAGAACAATCTAAAAATTAATTTAACTTAGATGAAAGTTTTGTTTCAGATGCAGCTGCAATATTATTTCATTAAATATAATTACTTTTTTTTAAATACTTATTGTGTTTCTAATCTGTTATATAAAATTATATAAAATACTGCAAAATTATTTTACGATATATTATACTTTGATTCTCTATTCTGAAGATTAATTCAGAAAGAAACTCAATTATGTAAATTAATTTTATATAATTAATTATACAATTACTTTAATTTTATGAATGTCAGTTATATAATAACTTTAGTTATAACCAATTATAAGTTGTAAAAAGTAAATGCAAGTATTTTGATTATGACAAAATGTATTTTAGAAGAAAAATATATTTAATTTCTAATATTCTTACTAGCTAATAATTAGTAAAATAATAAGTAATAAGAATTAATTACAAATAACAATTTACGCTAAGAGATACTAACAAAACTATAAGTTCTTGAAATTTTTATTTGCATATTTTATCTATCCTTCTTATCTGTAATATATAGAATTAAATATATAGAATATATAGAATATATAGAATTAAATTTTCTTGTAAGTAATTTCCTTATTCTTCTCTTCTGTTTCAAAACTTTTTTATTTATTATTCAATAATACCCACAGTAATAGAAATGTATATAATATTAAAAGATAAAGATGCAATGTGAAGAGACAACATCACATGTCACAAGCAGATACTTTAATGATACTATTATTATTATAGACTATTGCTAACAAAACAAAAGCAATAGCTGATTATAAAAGAACAACGAAATGTATAGGTACGTTTTTTTATCAGCATGGAAATTGCTTGTTAATTTTTTATTCGTAAATGTTTCATGTGATGTTTTGTATCGAAATGACGGAAACTTCAAACACAGAAGTGCAGAATATTTAATACACTTTGCTATAAAGTTCACCCTCTAGCTTTTTTAAAGCTGTTATTAAAAGCATACGCAAGGAGTATTTTTTATTGAACACGAGGTAACGTCGATTCATGAGAAAGCATCAAATGTCAGTCTCTAGATAACATTCGACATGAAAAGTTCTAAATATGACGGATACCGAGGTGCTTGTTCTTTTGATCATTGTAATTGTAATTAAAGCAACTTTATAGAAGTATTCTTACTACTTTATATAAATACGTTTTTACAGTAACTTTATATGTATACGTTCATAACAATACTATATAAATGGCGAAACGTTTATAACAATCCATAATACATTTTTGTATCATTGAAAAGTTTTAAATTATCTTTTTTTAGCTTCGTGTTTCTTAATAAATTGACTAATAACTAGTATAAGTTAACTAGTATGTAACGAAACATTAACTACATCAAAAAGAAAATCATAAAATTATGACTTCCTTCGTCGTCGTATACATTTTCAAAATAATTTGAAATAATTTACATAATTATCGAAAGATGATTTAAGCATTATTTTTTGCGCGGCCGGTTAAGTAAAATTTTATATATATTCACCATATCTGTGGATTTAATTATATTATATATTTAAAATAAATATATACGAATGATATATTTTCTTATGCATGAAATTTGGAGACTTATTAAGTTTTCTGCATATAGATTTTGAATGGGCGGTGAATTTGAATCGTTTTACTTTAAATTTGCTTGGACTCTGGCCTAAAACAGTACGAAATTCTCGGCAAAAGTTAATATGTAATTCTCGAGTATTTATCACCTCGCTGGGAATGATATTTTTCATCATTATTCCTTCTATACATTCGCTGATAAAAATTTTTGGAGATTTGTTGCTAATGTTAGATAATTTACAATTTACTTTACCAGGCATTAGCTGCTTCATTAGAATTGTTATTTTTTGGTGGAAAAAAGAAGGTAAACATTATTTTTATCATAGTTACAAACTAATAAGTATCATATATATTTATAAATAAAATGTTTAATATTAATATTAATAATTTTAGAAACAGGCAATTTGTTTCATTTATTTATTTAGATAAAGCCACCTTTTACATTATAATTTATGTATTAATAACAAATTATTTTAATATGTTTTATTAATAATTTATGAGTTAAATAATTTTATGTTTCTTATATCTTACAAATATATGGATATGTGTACACACACGCGCGCACGCGCCCTCCCCCACACACACACACGTGTGTATGTATATGTATATGTAT